GGCCGTATTGCAGGCTGTTGATAGCTTCGCTAGCTAATTTAATGTTGCGGGCCAACTAGTTTAGAAATTGTGTTAGCTTCAACTAAATCTTCTTACTTAGTCATTAGTTAAGTTCTTATTTCTTACATTTTTGAGTTCAAGCCCAAGTGGAGGTTTTGTTGTACGTCCTGATAAAGGGACCATCTGTCAACTTTAGTTTGAGCAATAAAGAGTAATTAACTCTTCCTGAGTTTACGTTCCTATTTTTGGACGTAAGCGATTATTCGCTTAGTAGTTCACTAGTTTCCTCAACAGTTAATAGAGTTCAGTTAATAAAGATAAAAGTAAGGATCCCTACACATCTTTTTTGTGTATTTATAATACATATTTTATTCAAAATTTACATAATGTAGGTTAGAGTGACTCTTAAATTCTAAAGACATATTTTTATATGTACAAAATTGGTTACTTAATTTGGCAATTACAGCAATAATCATACAATAACCAAACTTCGGAGATTATGCATCACATCTAGACTGAACTCTCCAGATGTAAAAATAGATAAAAATAATAAATTTATATGGGATTGCTTAAAAACTTCTAAATACAAATTTAGGAGGCAGGCGAGGGAGGTGGAATACATCTTAGAAAAAATATTTTCGGTTACCATTACTTTCTAAGCCTTCAGTCATATAAGGTAAATTTGTATCAAGATTTGAAAACGCCTCTAAGAACTACTACCACAGATTATAAAATCAGGTGATTAAGAAAGCTACAAAACCAAATCCTTAAGTTTACTGTTGATATTTCCTGTATCATGGTCAAAGGAAGAAGTTTATGATGATTTTCTATGTGCTGATTAGGATTTTTTTCAATCGATAAAAACGTACCTTTGTTGAGTAGGATGATTGAAATATCTCTGTAGAGACATTAGGTATTTTTGGAAGCAGGAGATGTGAAAAATTAGCAGTGCTTTCTACGGGAATCGAACCACGGACCTATGGAATACGCGCCCAGCGTGCAGACCCTCCCACCACGAAGGCACGCTAAGAAAGCGGGAAAATACCTTACATACTCCCCCATTTTAAAGGGTGTCTGGGGTTTTAGGGGATCCAGTCGCCAAATCCTGGGTGTGGAAAATCATCGTCCACCACCCTTTTAGTTCGGGCGCCACTGTAGAGACATTAGGTATTTTTCAGAAGAAGGCAAGATGAAAATGAGCAACGCCTTCTTCGGGAATCGAATCACGGACCTCTGGAATACGCGCCCAGCGTGCAAACCACTACACCCCGAAGGCACGCTAAGAAGGCAGGAGAAATACCTTATATTACTTATTTCTTGATTGTTTTGCAAGGGAGTCCACTTCCTGAATTTACAACACCATTCTGTGAAGGATTAACATATGTATATACGTTGTGTCAATTATGCAAATGCCTCAATTTATCTCAATTTCCTTGTATTCCCTTACATGCAGCGACGGTGGAGCTATCGGGAATTCAAGAAATTTCTTGAGGCGCCGGCGGCCATATATCTGCCTTGTCGACGGTATCGATGATTTAGAAAATGGATGAAACATTAATCATAACTACAAAATTCATGATTCATGATCAATTCAATATACTCATTAGTAAGAAAAAAAAAATGTCACTCCAAAAAATACCCAAATAAACCAATGCAATATTTAACATATCATATTAACATGGCCATCGTTAGCTAGTCGCAAGTTTATAACTGTTGGATCCAACTATTTCCTAAATAGCTTAAAAGTGGTGAATTTTCACGCCTCATCACCTGAATACTTCGCTTTTAGTGTTAAAGACCTCTGAATACTGTTAGTTTGACTTGTGTTCAAGCTTGGACTGGCTACATGATTTATTTTTATAGTTTTCCATATGTGCTACGTGAATACGGACCAATTTCCTTTAGAAAGTTCTCCACGAAGGTACCTCTTTCTTTAGGCCGAGAGCCTTCGCGTGTTTAAATTAATTCAAATAACTTAACCTAATCCGTCGATTTCATAACAATGCTAGTACATTTTTACAAGTCTATGATAATTTAGATAAAGATTTTTACTTATCTTAGATAAAGATTAGGTCGATCTTAGACACTGATAGTCAATTATATAAAGATATTCACATGGGCGTAACGGCATCTTGATGAAATTGTATAAATTGAATTTAATAAGGGTGCTAGCTCCATTTGTCAACACCTTTATGCAAGTGACCGAATCTGTCAGACCAGCCCATCCTCTCCTACTTACACATTATTAATAGTTATTGATTAGCGTTATTGCTTTTCTGTTGTGCATGAGAAGTCTTTCCGAACTCGTCTCCATGATGCTACGTGCATGCCATAAACGCTCGCTTCACAGGCACTACATTCACATGACCACTGGGCTTACGAAGAATGCTTAATCTTTTTTTTTTTTTTTTTCTTCCTGTTATTTTAAGTATCTTTACAATAGACTGCTAATGTTAAAAAACTGTTTGACTGACTGGCTGTTGCAAGTTCACTGCAACGGTGCTGCCACTTTTGTGTTATTTAATATACCAACGTATTTGGAAAAGACTGAAGCTCTAAACGTACTATGCTCGATGTATTTAAAATGGGCATTTAAAATTTAGAATAAAGCTGCAAAATGAAATAAGTATAGATGCAACAAAGTTCTTTCTAAGATTATCCAAACAAATAACAAAAGGCGAATTTTATACCCAAATTGCTCACATTATTATTCGAAATCATATTTATCTCTACAGAACAACCGAAAAGTGCACTGAGAATGTAGTAAATAAAAGTAGACACAGTCATAAAATAAATACAGTACTTAGTTATTACACAGCACAGTAATTAGAGAGAAATTGTTTATAAGATTGCAGGATATGGAGGTAAAATTTAGAACTTGCCGAGATCCATTTAATGAAGATGCAAAACTTTTAGAATAAAATATCAGATTTAATGTTTTCGTACTGATGATCATCGCATTGTTCAGGAAATTTCAACAGTCAAACGTCGAAGTAGATTTTTCACAAGGTTTATGAGATCTGCAGTGGCATAGGATTACATAGAAGCGAGTGGAATCGGAAAGGCAGAAATTTCTTTTGCAAGCGATATAAAGAACAGAAGCTTGTCGCACATATTATGATTTAATCCGACGAATTTACCACTGCCAGCAAAACACTGTACAGTCCTCCGCTTTGTCCCAGACGAATAATGGAATGAACATTTGCAGTCTATATTCAAAATGAGCGCAAAAAAGATACGAAATAAAGTATAAAAAGCACGTATTTGATCATTTGAAATAAATCCTGCGAGAAGAATGGAATAAAATACCTTCAGACATATCTCTAAACTTTGTGGAATCGCTACCATTACGCTTAGTAGTTATTATGAGGATTAAATGCTATGAGCCTTGTACAAATCCTTTCTTTTACAGGTGCGATAGAATAAAAAGAATTCTTCCATTCTAAATTTTTTAAACAAAAAACTATCATTGTTTGTTTAAAATGCTCAACTTATATATGTGAGAAAAAGAAGGAAAAATATTACGTCATAATAAAAAGCAATAAAATATGTTTAATTTACTTTATCTGATATTCTGACATACTTTCTTCTATTCACGGCGGATGGGGCTTGTTTGAATGGAGTGGACAGTTTGCAAAAGGTGGTGCTTGTATTTTCAGTATCATTCTCTCTACCTCTTCTGTTCTTGAAACATTTGAAACGATAACCGCATCACTCAAGCATTGAAAGATCGGTTCAGTCGAATCACCGTCGAACTATTCTTCAATGTTTTTCTGATCGACATTTTCGAAGAATTTTACATGTTTAATTTTTGGGCTATACAACACTTCAATTACTGCTTCGACTTTTCACAATTAGATAATCATGCACATGCAGAACGAATTGTGAGAGGTAATCATTGAAAGTTAACCTAAAACAAAATTCAGCGGTTTTAGAGCATTCTCGGACTTGCTCATGTTTGTTTTTTACACACTCTCGCGCATAACGTTGAACGTGAGTGCGCGAGCATCGCTACGCACGGATAATCCGCAAACCGGATAATCCGCACCTGGATAATCGAGAGTATATTGCATTAAATTCAAGAAAGTTTGTATGCACGGTGAAATGAATAGACCAACGCATAAGGAATGTATTTAAAAAGTATGCGCTAAATCACCTCATTATTTGCTAATAATTGCGGTTTCCTAAAATTTGTCCTAAAATTATAAGAGGCGACGTGTATTTTCAAACCAAGGGAAGGGAAAGAAATGTTTGCAAAATACGAATTACTTTATTAATAACAAACAGTTCTATAAATAGTTTATATATCTAATATACACTGAAGACAAAAAATTATTTCATCATTATTTAAAGTTATTATTATTCCATATTTTACTAATTTCTGAAATTGTAACTAAAATTTCATTAAATTCTTATCTAAGAAAAAATTTCTTGGGAAATAATATTTTTTTTATTCCGTTTCTTTTCCCTCTCTCTTTTTATTTCATTTTCTTCTAGCAATTAAAAATATTTTATCTAAAACTACTTAAAAATATGATGCATGTTTTCCAGATCTTATACTAAGATTAAAATATCACTCCTTCATTAAGCTAAAATATATGTTTTGGGAATTAAACTAGGAAATATATTAGATTTTAGACATTAGCTTTCTTGGAAGTTTCAGATTTCGTATGGCAGTTTAAAAATGATTATAAACGCATATGACATGCTGCTCGAATGAAGATTAGAAAGACACATTTAAAATATATTAAGACATATTAAATATTCCTAATGAAATAAATACACTGTAAAATGCCAACTACTGCAAATTATTTAATACTATGGGGAAAAAAAGGGTGTTAAAAAATCCAGTACATTTATATTTTGTATTGTTGTTTTCGACACTGAAACCCTGCTTGCAATTCGAGTTCAGCGATAACTTGGCGGAAAAGAACTTCTTTTCGGCAACCCTAAAAGTAGCTTTTCAGGATTCATAGGTATCCGTTCTCCAGACGAGAGAGGAGTGGAGAGCGTTTCAGTTGGATCTTTGTCTGCTGTGTTCTAAACCTGGAATTTACAGGTATCAATACTATGTTCTTTGATCCTTTAGTCTTTTTTCAGCAACTTATGCTATGCAATTGCTATTTTGAACGTATGTATATAATATATGGCTTAAAAATTGAAAAATGTGTTTTTGATTTTGTTGTTGCATTGTAAACAGAAACAGGTCCTGATCATTGTCGTTAAGAATTATGCATTATCACGTCGGATCGCTCGCCAAGTATGGTTATTTTAAAGACTTGTTACTAAAAGTAGGATCATTGAAGGTGCGGTTTTTATGATCCAGCTTAAATTCTAAATGAAAAATAATTATTTAATAAATCAGAGTATATTTATTTTTTTCCCTTTAAAATATATGCGTTTTTTGCCTGCCCTGTTTTAAATTTAAAATTCAGTCATTTAAGTCATTAAAAATACTTTAAATTTAAGTCTAAATTACTCTTTTTTAAAAACTATGATTTCATCTTGAATTTGTTTGGAATAATTTTTTATTTTGCTAGTTGTGCCTGAAAATGAGGGAATTAATTCGATGATATCACATATTATCTTTTTTTCAAAATTAGCTTTATATTATATAATATTAAATACTATTAAACACAATAATCTGCATAATATTAAACATAATAAATTATATAATATTAAGCATAATATAATATTAGCATATTATTACATAAAACCTTGTTGCCTTTCCTGATTATTAATAGTAGCTTGTTCTTATAAGGCGAATATCTTTTGAAAATTTAAGTTTTACACTCATATAGCGAATTTTTTTCTCCATTAGAAAATTCCACAATCTTACCGTTGTGTGGATCTGTTTGTTTTGAAAATATTGGTATTTGAATATAAGTTATGAGCTAAAAATAATTAGTGTTATACATGTTAAAGAAGTAAATGAAAATAAATGTTAAGATTCTATAAGCAGTCACTGATATTAAGATTAAAAAAATTCAACCTAAATTAGTATTTTTTTCAACAATGTTTGTTATATATATGATATATGTAATAAATAAATAAATAAATAAAGAGTTTAGTGTAAAATTTAGTACAAATAAATATTTAACGAAAATAATTTTGTGCTGTATAAAATTTCTTTCATTTCAAACTGCACATAGTGTATTTTCACAGTGCATTCTTCATTATTTTGAAATGAAGAATGCAAGTAGAACAACACAAATCTTTGATAATGTATTTCTAATATTTTCGCTACATAGTATTACTTCCTTATAATTGCAAATGGGGACAAAATTTAATCTTAAAACTAACTGTAAATCAACGCCATTTAATTTTCTGTATTTTTAAGAAAAGCGTCAAAACTATGTATATAACGTACTTAATAAAGAACTTCAGAACCATTTTTTATCAGTTCAGTCAAGAAAACTGAGAAAGTAAAAAACAAAGTAGAAAAGTGAAAAATATCATTACGACTTAATATAGTTAAACTGAATTATCTTAACAAGTCATTACCATAGTCTATCTGGTTAATTTAAAAATTCGGATAATTAGTTCGTTTCTTTCCGCAGGCGAAAAATATGTTTTAACTGTAGTCGGAATGAGAGAATATGATTTTTCTCGCTAACCTGTTTTATTATGGAAAGCATTATACAGTTAAAAAGAATTAAAAAAAATTTTCTTTTTCATTCAAGAAAATTCAAAATACACATATTTTGAGAAATTGAATGGTGAAATTGCTTTGTATTCGCTTAAGGACAAAACCCACTTTTTATTTCAAGTAAAATAAACCAGTTAAATTCATTTTTACTTACATAGGAGTTGATGAAATTAAATCCAGAATCTTGCTTTTAATTTTATTCTACCAAAACTAAACAAAGAAATAATTTTTTATTTGCGTGAAACTTAACATATTCAACTGAAACTAAAATAGCACATAATTTTTTGTTGACGTACTAAAATAATAAGTATGATAATATAATTCAGATTTTTTTAAAGAAAGCGCTTCTTAATGTTTAAACAATGACGCGCGCAGAAAAAGAGAGTATTATGCCTGCATACAACACACACTTATTTTTTCTACTGATGTTCTAAGCAACATACAAATGGCTCCCAAAAGTGTTTGTACACTTTAAAAATTTGTAGAAAAAGCGCTGTAGCCCGGAACTGAATTCGAATATAAAGCCCGAGATTGTTTCATATCATCTCCATGAGATTTTGAATAAAACTAAACTTTTTTTTAATACGGACGTATTTTTCTTTTTCTAAAATTGAAAAATGTAAAGAGTCATAGATAAAAAAACATGCCACAAAAGTGATCGTACACCGAAACATTTTCCTAAAATTTCATAAATATAATTATTGTCTGACACTTTTTTTATTTATTTCTGCATTTTGATGATGTTAAACATTCACTTGGCTTTAGTCTTTGCTTGCTTACTTCGTTATATTTTACTGAATATTTAAAATAAAGAAGAAGTCGTCCAGCAGAATTAACTCAACATGATGAGAGATTTATAATCAGAAAATTTGTAAAAAATCCAAGTCTGAGTGCAGTAAAAATCTTTACAGAATTTACTGAAAAATATTTTACTTCAACTTCACCTGAAACTGTTCGACAAGTACTCAGATCAGCGGGATTACATGGGCGCTCTGCTCCAATAAAATTTTTGTTTGTTAAAAAAATAGAAAACTTATTCTTTCATTCGCAAAATTAATGGTAAATAAGTCCAAAGCGGAATGGGACAATGCCTTTTTTGCAGATGAAAGCAAATTTAACGTTTTTGGTTCTAATGGGCATATATCGTATTTGCCGGCGTATTAAGATGCACCGGCCTATAAGACGCAGCCTTTTTTTTATACACATTTTTGAAGGATAAAACTATATTACTAATCATTATAATGAATTTACGGTATTTTAAATATAAAGTAATAAAAATATAAAGTAATAATTTCTGCAAATACCCAGTGTATCTGGGAAAGAACACATTTTAATCTTCTTCGTCAAAACCCAGGCACTCATCTCCAGAGCTCAATGAAGAGTCACTTGCAACCCCATCTAAATCAGCATCTGAGTCCTCATACAACCAATTGTCCTTTGTACCATCCAGTGCGTTACTAATGCCACACTTCTTAAATGATTTAACCACTATCTCTGTTTTCACAGCATCTCATGAAGCTTCTACGTATAATACGCAGTATCGACGCACCCTATTTTTCAGACCTATTTCAAAGGAAAAAAAGTGCGTCTTATACGCCGGCAAATACCGTAATTATATGGGGGGGGGATAAGGAATTTAATCCCAAGAACTTGGTTGGAACAGTAAAGCATAGCGGTGGAGGTGTCCTTGTGTGAGGGTGCATGTCAGCACATCAGGATTAGGTAGTTTAGTATTTATTGATGGTATAATAAACCATGCTCTTTATTTAAATATTTTGAAAGGTAATTTAAAATTATCCGCCGACAATTTGGTATTGGAAACAACTTTATTTTTGATCAGGATAACAATCCTAAGCATACGACTCTCAACGTTTGCCTTTCTTTGGCCTGTTTATAATTGTTCACAATTTCTGAAAACACCACTTCAGTCACTGGATTAAAATCCGATAAAACACATTTAAGAAAATTAGAGGTTTAGAGTACGGAGACATAACATAAAAAATAAAATCGAACTAAAAACAGGAATGTTATAAGAATGGAGAAACATTCATGCAGATATTATCCCCCCTCCCGAAAAAAAAAAAAAAAAAAAAAAAAAAAAAAAACTTCTATGCCCACACTATTGAAAATTGTCATAAATGCTGCAAGAAGATATCCTACAAAATACTAATTAACGGATCTACTACAGTACTTACTTATATGCAGATTTCTTTAAAATGTATGAAGACTTGGGAGGTAATTTTTCTATTACTTTTTTATTATTGATTCCCCCCAAACATTTATTATGTTCATAAAATAACTAATGTATTTTTGCTAAGAGAAATTTAGAGATATTATTAAAAAATTCTCATTCCCAAATATTAATTTTAATTAATGAATAAAGCAATATTTCACTGAAACTCGTAAGTGTACAAACACTTTTGAGAGCCTCAGTATTTGCAAATGATGTGTGGTGGTTTATTTTTGAAAACTTCATACTTACCAAATTATATGCGATGAGACGCTATTGATGTATAGTTATATGATACTGAATTAAATTACATGATTTAATAGTTTAAAAAGTATATGCAATGTATTTTAAGTGATTTTTAATGAATGATAGTCACAAATATACATACTTCAATAAGTACAAACAATAAAATAAATTTCTTCATTCACAAAGGAAAAATTTCCAAAATTTTTGTGGCATTGCTAAAATAAATACACTGCATTTCATTTTATATTTTCTTCCTAAATATTGTAATACATAAATAAGAATAAAATTAGCTCTTCGCTATAACATAACATATTTCATATCTGAGTAACACAGGATTAAAATGCTAGTTGGCAATGTAAGATTTTAATTAATGAAAAATGCTATTCTAAGTAAAACATTTAAAATAATTTAAAATGTAATAGAAATTTTTTAAATAATAAAAAATAATATTAGATTTTAAACTTAATTGCTAATTTTATCGAAGTAATGCTAAATAAGTCACAAATATACATACTTCAATAAGTACAAACGATAAAATAAATTTCTTCATTCACAAAGGAAAAATTTCCAAAATTTTTTGTGGCATTGCTAAAATAAATACACTGCATTTCATTTTATATTTTCTTCCTAAATATTTGTAATACATAAATAAGAATAAAATTAGCTCTTCGCTATAACAGGGAGATGACATATTATGAATGTATATGTCTGTGCTTTTAAAGCAGAACTGTTGAGAACAGAAGATAATTTTTTAATCCGGAACAACAATAACAGATATAAGACAGTTAAATAATTTTAAAATTTCATAAAAAGTTTAAGCATATGCATATAAAAAATTATTGGATTTCATACCAATACATCTAATCTATCTGTATAAAGTATTTACCTTAAAATTGTCGCGACAGTTTTTTGTGTCGCAGAAAAAATGAAATAG